CAAGAATTCCACTGGGCATTTTTCAGGGGCCTTCTCCCATTCATAGCATTCCATCTTTACATCTTTGTATTTCTAACCACCCTTCCTCATTCCACAGCAAATCAGTATCTACTATCACAACCACACTCCTGAGCCTCGAGCAGCTAGTGCCCAAGGCAAAGCCTGGACTCTGCCCACGACCATCAAAGCACAGCTCTCCCATGTTAGCCTCATTTCCACTCTCCCCTCCAACCCCAAAGGCTTGTTCTTGTCTTTGTTATCAGTCCATAATGATAGGAGTATGTATCTTATTTTCTTTAATCTCAAGGTTCGGGAACAATTTCCAATGTGCTGAACGTGAGAGGGGGAAACTTCTGTTTTCTTTTTAGAGATAAAATGTCTTGTAGTCCAGGCTGGCCTTGGACTCACTATGTACCAGAGGATGACCTTGGACTTCTGATCCTCTTGCCTCTACTTCCCTAGTGCTGACATCACAGGCAACTGTCACCATAACCAGCGCTTTGTGGGGGCACTCTACCAATGCTACACACCCAGTCCGTGAGAGGGACCTAAGCATCCACTAAAACTCAGTTGTCTGAAGCTTTACTGAAAATGCCAATGCCCCATTTTAGGAGGCAGCAATGGGCCACTCTTAGATCCTAAAAGTACCTCACCCCCCTAATACCTATAATATTAACTATTTTAAATATATGCAGTGAACTGAGTTTGTAAAGGGAAGAGTCTTGCATCTACAGATGCCCGGAGAAGTCAGAGTCCTATCCCAAACTATAGAACAGAAAACCAAGTTACAGAAGCTCTAAGTATGAACCCTAGGGTCACACAGCTCTCTGGTGATGAAGCCCGAGCCGAGCCCCTGAATGCCTGTGGAATGTGGTTCTCCTTATGCTCCTTTAACCTGTGCATTTTAGAAATGAATGTGTAATGTATACATATCTGTTTGTCTGCCCAGTGACTACATCAGGGCTCAGCATGTAAAAAATTGCTGGAGAAACAAATCAACACCCTGGAGCTTAGAATTAAAAAAAAAAAAAAAACAGGCAGAAGATTAAATATTTCACAGCACTGGTCAGACAACTGGCCCCTGAGAGAGAGAGAATCAGTCTCAGAGAGAAAGAAGAAAACCATAACAACCCATAACAGAACAAAGGGTTGAAAGAGAACCCAATCCACAGACTGAACTTGCATGCACGATTGTGGTGATGTGAAAAAAAGCCTAAAACAAAACAGAACTACAGTTTGCATAGGCAATGAGTGTCTCCCACAAGGGCTCAGGTGTTGGGAGCTTGGCTCCCAGCTGGTGAGGCTGTTCTGAGTATCTGTGAACATTAGGAGGTGTGGCCCAGCCAGAGGAAGTAGGTCACCAGGGGCGGGTCCTTGGGGAGTGTCCTGTCCCAGGCCCCTTCCTGTCCTTTCTATCAAATTAACCTTTCCACCTCTGTGTTGCCCTCTCAGGTGTCTTGGTCACAGCAACGCAAAAGTAACAACAGAGAGAATAAAGTCCTCAGCGGACATTTCTCTAAAGATGTAGGAAATATGGCTGAACACGCTCATAGTACATGTCTGATGACCTGAGATCAATACCTGGAACTCATAGCAAAAGGAAAGAGCTGACTCCCAAAGTTGCCCTCTGACCCCCACATGTACACAGTAGCATGAATGCACACCCCCGCGCCACACACACACACACACACACACACACACACGCCCTGCAGATAAATGTGGGAATGACCAACAAGCGTAGGAAACAGTTCTCAACATTGTTAGTCATTAGGGAACTGCAAATCAAAACCACAATGAGCTACTACTTCATACCATTTGAAGGACCATAACGAGCAACATGTGGCCTATACATACAGCAGAACACCGTGCATTTGTAGAAAAAGGATAAAAGGCCAATACAACGCTGATGAATCCTGAACCACAAAGGCCAACACTTCAAAATTCCATTTGTATGAGAGTAGGCAAATCCAGAAACAGATTAGCGGCTGTCGGGGTTAGTGCCATGGAGGAAGGGAGGCTGTTCAATGGGGAAGGCTGATGGAAAAGTTCTAGAATCAGACAGGTGTAATGGTTACACACCACATTAATACACTTAGTGTCACACTTTAATAGACGTTAAGATGATAAATTGTATGTAATTATGTACTTTATATTTTACCACAATAAAAAAATGATAATTGGACTGGAGAAATGGTTCAGTGGGTGAAGGTGCTTGCCACCAAACTTGACAACCTGAGTTCTAAAGCAGAAATTCACAGAGTGGAAAAAGAGAACCCATCCCTGTCAGTTGTCCTTTGACCTCTACATACACAGTGGTACATGAACATGTATGTGCACATGTACACACACACACACACTCAAGCACAAACAAATGCAATGGACATTTTTAAAAATGAGAACCATTTCAGCACCTGGGAGGCAGAGACAGGTGGGCCAGGAGCTCAAGGTCACCCACTGTCAGGTACCAAGTTCAAGACCAGCCAAGGCTAAAAGAGACCCTGATGGGGGCAGGAGGGGGAGATGAGAACCAAGCGTTCCCAGTGCTAAAGTATCTAGTATAATGATATGCTTTCATGAGAGTCAGCAGCACTGTTCCAAAAAGGTAGGATGCTAAGTCGCACAGAGCGTCGGGACAATCCCAGCTTTCATTAGACTCTCCAGAATGTCAAGACTGGTGCTCTACTCCAAGGAGGTAAGGGCATTAGAGAGGAGAAACTTCACTGTGCTTCTTCACAGACAGGCTGCTATCAGGGATGTCGCTACATGTGGAGAAGGAAGTCCCAGCATGATCAGAGGCACTCAGGGGACAGAGACAGCCCACCCTCGGTAGAGCACACATGAGGAAGCCATCACCTCACCCCCAGAAAGTGCGATGGAAACCGAAATGAAATGCTGCCCTCGGTTATCGAAAGTGCTCGAGTTCCGGGATGCTCCTAGGATTCCCCTGGCACCTACCAAATGGCCGCGATGCCACTGGCATTCATCCCGTAACAACGCAGATAAGGCGCAGATAAGGTGCGCTTGAACTTTCTGTCCAGAGGCTTCCCCCTGCTGTGCTCTGCTCCACACAGGGCTTCTGCTTCCCTCCCTTCGGTCTCAGGCTCTGTTCCGCCTCTAGCAGTTACCTGAGCTGATCTCCAGATCAACACTAGGTGCCAACTGCAGGCTCCTGAGGTGTTTGAGAACTTTGGAACCAAGGCCAGGTGTCTCGTCAGTCACTGACGGAGGCACAGTTACCAGAGCTGGGTTTAATCAGTTCGGACCATATGGCTCTTATCTAGAAATTCTTGCATGTGCAGTGGTAAGTCAGGGCTCAGCACATTGGAGATGGTCAAACAGACTACAAACATAACAATGAATGAATGAATAGCTAGCTACGCCAGGCCTGCATTAAAACAGGCCAAGCCCTCTGCAATAAAGAACTATAAGGTCAAACAGACTCAGCTATTTTCAAAAGCACAACTCTACTTTATAACTGCCACTTAGTCTAGTTTCAAATTTCTGGTTTCTCTGATTGGGAAAATGTACTTTAAAATTCTCCAGGAGAAGCTCATTGGAGGCACTGATAGAAGGAATCTGCCCAGTCACTGAAAATTAGGCCTTTACTCGTCTAGGCAAGAAAACACACAATATTCCATACATACACTGTCAAGCCTGGCAAGGAAGATCTTAGCTGACTTCCACCCTTCCCACCCAACCCCAAGTAAATAGGGCATTTGTTTGTATTTCCACATTGGCTGCACCAACGAAAATACCTCCTCCACCTAGAAAAACATTTGGAACATTCAGGCATGGAATATGAGGGCAAAGTTTCAGCACACCGTGGAGCCCCTCACAGAAAATGATTTTTCATAAATGTTCCGCAAGCACTTTCCCCAAGTTTACACTCAATACCTGGTCTCATGTTTCCAGATCGCTCAGGGGCAAAGCTTTTTGTTGTTGTTGCTCTTTATTATAGTTGGAACCAGAAAGAATCTTCCCATAGCAGGGCTTGAAAGTTTTGCTCTGGGCTGGGCGGTGGTGGCGCAAGCCTTTAACCCCAGCACTTGAAAGGCAGAGGCAAGCGGACCTATATGAGTTTAAGGTCAGCCTGGTCTGTAGAGCTAGCACCAGGGCAGGCTCTAAAGCTACGCAGAAAACCCTGTCCCGAAAAGCCAAAAAAAAAAAAAAAAAAAAAAAAAAAGTTTTAGGAGGAAACACACACACACACCTTCATTTTCTGCTTTACACACACACACACACACACACACACACACACACACACACACACACACACACACACACACCTTCGTTTTCTGCTTTGTACCGAATAGGTTCAGGCAAAGAGTTAAAAGCTGTCTTGCGGTTAAGTGGCCAGAGGAAGGGGGGTTAGTGGCTTACATTTAGAATCTGTAAAACAATGCAGGGAAACTTTCCACCTTGGGGAAACGCTGCAGTTTGACTGCCTTTTGTCAAGCCGTGTCCCATCAGCCACCTACTCTTTCTAATCCTGACGCCCTAGTTCACCGGGTAGATCTATACATACATCCCCGCGCGATTCAGTTACTTGCGGGAAACTGGGGGGGGGGGCATGGAAACCTACGGAAAGATTCGCGCAGGACTCCGGTTTAATAGGTGGCTCTGGCCACCTCCCGAGTCTCAGCCTCTCAGCGGACACGGTCCCCACGCGCAGTCGGGCGCCGATCCCCTCCCCAGGCTCTGGGAAAGAGCAGTGGGGACCAAAGCTTGGGAGTCAGGGACCCAACGCAGACAACACGCCGCGAGCCACAGAGCGCTCGCCTTCCGGAAAACCCCCGAGGTGGGAGGCCACGCGTCGCGACCCCTGAGGACCCGGGATGAAGGCCTTTGAGTGGCACTGACCTCGGCGACGACGGGCGCCCCAGCTGCGAGCAAAGGACTTCTGCAACTTCAGAGACCTGGACCCGGTGCCCTCGATGATCCAGACAGCTGCCGCCGCACCTCGCGACCAGCCTGTCCCAGCTCAGAAGGGCCGAGCTCACCGAGCCAGGTCCCCTCCGTGGGCCGCAGGTGTCCACGCCGACTGCGACCCGCAGCGCTCTCGCAGTCCACCCGTCTACAAGCCGCGCACGCTCGCCGACCGTCCGGGACAGCCCGCTGCGCGCTCCCCCGTGCGCCCGGCACCTCCCCGCCGCGCGCTCACAGTCGTGCGCGCTCCGCCACCAGGCTCCGCGCTCCGCACCTCTGCCGCGCGTTCCCGCCTTCGGGACTCCAGTCCTTCAGAGGTAGTCTGCGCGCCCCCGCGATATTTAAAGGGCCAGGGCCTGCAACCCCTAGCTGTGCCTTTGGCCACCTTTAAAGGCCTTACTCTACTTGTGAGACTGAATTAAGGGTTGGCAGTGTGACATCGTTATGCAGATGTGCTTTTGAAGCCCTGAATGAGAGGGGACTTCTCCAGTAACTCTACCACCAACTTTGAGAGTTTCATTGGTGTTTGTTTTTTGAAGTAGGCTTTCACCATTCAGGATGACTTCAAATATGTGATCCTCCTGCCTCAGCTTCCTGACTTCTGGAATTACAGGCACTCAACAGCAACACTATCTTGGAGAGATTATTTTCATTTAATAATAACAATGGCTGCCGTTTATGAAATACTTATACTTTCAGACATATAACAAACATTATTTCTTTTAATTTATTTGGACAATGCTTATTTTATATTTTCCCAATTATTTTTTGGGGGGGTGATTTTTTCTTGTTTGTTTCCGGGGTTTTTTTTGTGTATTTTTTTGTTTTTTTACGAGACAGGGTTTCTCTGTATTGTTTTGGAGGCTGTTGGTCCAGCCCGGCCTCGAACTCACAGAGATCCGCCTGCCTCTGCCTCCCGAGTGCTGAGATTAAAGGCATGTGCCACCACCGCCCGGCTTGTTTCTGATTTTTAAGGGTCTCACTGTATAGCCTTGGCTGGCCTGGAACTCACTATATAGACTAGGTTGGGATTCAGAGAACTCCATCTGCCTGGCTGGGATTATAGGTGTGTACTACCACGCCTAGATTTGCTTTGTTTTTAATGAACTTGTGGGAACTGCATATGTTTGTGAGGTACTTACGAAATGTTCCTGTACACGTGCATATGGAATAGAGTTTTTAGCAGAGTAAACATAGCCAGAGCTCCTCAAATAATCATTTTTCCCATGAAAAATGTCAAAATCATCCTTGCCTTTTTTCTTTTTTTGAGAACTTTGGTTTCTTTTGGCACAGTCACTTATTTATTTATTCATTTGTGTGTGTCTGAGTTGCTGCAGGAAAGAGAAGGTCAGAGGGCAACCTTCCGAAGCTGGTGCTTTCTTCCCAACGCACAGGCTAGAATGCAGGGCTCCTGGCAAGCGCCTCCACCTGATGAGCCCTCTCCAGGGCCTCGTGCTGTGGCTTCCTATGGTCACTTTATAGAGAAGGGATATTGAGGTAGCCAGGGTTGAAGAAATGCTCAGCTTTTGACCTGCTGTTTGTGGCTATGTCTTTTACCACCAGAAATATTTCTGAATAACTGATGACAACAGCTAGTTGTGGAAGCCTTTTGTGAGCCGGTGGAAGTTGGTGCTACCGGTGAGAAAGCCAGAGGCATGTGTTTTGTTCATTGTAAGACTTAGTATGGGCTTGAACGACAGCCATTGTAACAATCTGTATTCCCAGAATGTTTGTGCTTGTACCCATTTCACAGAAAACTGAGGAAGGCAGTGGCTGCGGAAAACGACTGGCTTTCAGGCAGCTGTCAGGGCTGAGTCCAATTCCTCGGTCATTAGTCATACCTTGGCCCTCCCCAGGAAGAAGGACTACCTGATTAAAGGGAAGAAGACGTTTTCTCTAATAACACATTGGCCTCACCTAGCTCTCTGCATCTTTAATTAATGTTTACAAAGCACTTTAATCTGCCCAACATGCTAGTTAATTAGGCAAGTATTATTATCCCCCTCTTTCTGAACCAAATCCAGAAGAGAATCTAACCTGACAGTTCCCCCATCCTTGACGAATAAGGATACAAGATTTCCATTTCTGTTGGGTTTTGTTTGTTTGTTCCTCTCACTCTTAAAAGTTTGTGTTGTATTGTGTTAAGTGTGTGGATGTATTGATCATTCAGTGACTTTTTACAGGTATATAATATTACATGCTGCAGGTGAAAGGTAAAATGTAATATAGGGAATCCTTGTCTTTAGGAAAGCATGTCAGAGCTGCTGTGGAAATCAGTATGTCGGTTTCTCAGAAAATTGGGAATCAGCCTACCTCACTCTTGGGCATATACCCAAAGGATGCACACTCACACCACAAGGACATTTGCTCAACTATGTCCATAGCAGCATTGTTTGCAATTGCCAGAACCTGGAATCAACTAAGATGCTCCTCAACCAAAGAATGGATAAGGAAAACGTGGTACATTTACACAATGGAGTACTACTCAGTGGTAAAAAAACAAAAAACAAACAAACAAACAAAAAACCAATGATATCTTGAAATTTGCAGGTAAATGAACAGAACTAGAAAAAGCCATCCTGAGTGAGGTAGCCCAGACCCAGAAAGACAAACATAGTATGTACTCACTCATAAGTGGATACTAGACATAAAGCAGAGGATAAACAGCACACAGGTCACAACTCCAGAGAACCTAAGTATCAAAGAGAACCCTAAGACAGACATGCATGGGTCCCCCTGGGAAAGGGAAAAAGACAGTCTCCTGATTAAACTGGGAGCATGGGGGGTTGGGGGAGGAGTGGAAGAGGAAACCTGCGGAGGAGGGAAGGGTAGTGGGGGAAGATGTGTAGCTCAATAAAAAAGAAAGAAAAGAAAGAGAAAAAGGAGGAAAGAAAGAGGAAAAGAAAAGAAAGCAGGTCAGGACTGGTGTGGTGGCACAAGTCTTTGGTCCCAGCACTCAGGTGGCAGAGGCTGGTGGATCTCTGTGAGTTCGAGACCAGCCAAGTGTACGGAGTGAGTCCTGGCCAACCAGGGCCACATAGTGAGATCCTGTCTCAAGCAAAAAGAAAACAGATCAGGAAAACCAAAAAACCCCAGGCATTTTGGTAAGTGCTTTCCAGGACTTCTTTTCACTGATATTCTTCTCCTTTCTAAGCTTTTCTCTGGGATATGTCTTTTTAAAGTATTTGTGATGTGTTTCTTCCTTGTAGATTAAGTAAAAGGGAGGAGACGGAAGGATGATGGAATTAGGAAGGGAAAAGGAAAAGGCAGGGATGGGAAGGCAGTTGAGACTCAGAAGGAATGTCAAGAGGCCCCTCCCACACGCAAACACCAGCCTTTGTGAGAATGAATCCTGAGTGCCTTTACAGATGAACAGGGACTGGCTATGGAGACACACTGGCTTCCACTCCCCAAGCACCTCTTGTCAAGACACCTTTGTGTCAACCTGACATGCACACACTGGACATATGTGGTCAGAAAAGACACAAAGTGAGGTAGAGGAAAAAATATGCAGTTTAGAAGGGACATTAAAAATACTTAATGTTGCTCTCTCTTTTCTCTGAGAAAGTAGCTCTCTGTCTTTCTGTCTCTGTTTATCTCTTTATCTCTTTCCTTCCCTTACTCCCTTACCAACAAACTTGCCACATAAAAAAAAAGGACTTAATCTCTAGGAAGGAAACCTCTACAAGAGTGGTTCTCAACCTTCCTAATGCCTCTACTCTTCAATACAGTTCCTCATGTGGTGACCCCCAACCATAAAATTATTTTCATCACTGTAATTTTGCTAGTGTTACAAACTTAACATAAATACCTGTGTTTTCTGAAGGTCTTAGGCAACTCCTGTAAAAGGATCCTTCAACTCCCCGAGGGGTTGAGACCGCAGGCTGAGAACCACTGTCCTTAAAGGTGTTTGTCTATAGAAATCTTTACTGTTTTTATTTTTCCAGACCAAGTTTTACCATCCCGAGTGCCAGGATTATAGACGTGTACCTGTGCTCTAGTGCCCCCCATCCCTTCCTTTGTGGTGATCCTGAGGATGGGCCCAGAGCCCTGCATTCTATAGGCCAGTGCTACCTGTAAAAGATAGCCCTAGCCGGGCGTTGGTGGCTCACACCTTTAATCCCAGCACTAGGGAGGCAAAAACAGGCAGATCTCTGTGAGTTTGAGGCCAATATATATATCCCTAGTCTCTGTCATTTCTTTAAAACTCAAGAAATTTGTTGAGCAACTTTGTGATTCCCTTTCATCTCAGCAACAGAGTAGCAGGCCATTTCTTTGTGAGTTGGATTTTAGCTAGCTAGCTCCAGAATGGCCAGAGCTACATAATGAGAACCTGTCTCAAAACAAACAAAAACCAAAAAAAACTAAGGCCTGGAGAAATGGCTAAGAGCACTGCTCTCTCTTGCGGAAGACCCAGGTTTGAATTCCAGCATCCACATGGTGGCTCAAGGCTGTCTATAGCTCCAGGGCTGGCGATCTAAGACCCTCTTCTCCCTTCTGCAGGCTCCAGGCACTCTTGTAACTTTACAAAACTTACTTTGAACTCACTTCAATTTTTTTTTCCTTCACAGTGATGGCCATTGAACCTAAGGCTGCATGCTTTCTAGGCAATGACTCTACCATTGCTACACCTCCTCCTTTTTCTCCTCCTCCTCCTCCTCCTTCTTCTCCTTCTCCCCCTCCTTCTCCTTTTTCTCCTTCTCCTCCTCCTCTTCTCCTCCTTCTCTTCTCCTCCTCCTTCTCCTTTTTCTCCTTCTCCTCCTCCTCTTCTCCTCCTTCTCTTCTCCTCCTCCTTCTCCTTTTTCTCCTTCTCCTCCTCCTCCTCCTTCTCTTCTCCTCCTCCTTCTCCTTTTTCTCCTTCTCCTCTTCCTCCTTCTTCTCCTTCTCCCCCTCCTTCTCCTTCTCCTCCTCCTTCCCCCTCCTCCTCCCCCTCCTCCTTCCCCCTCCTCCTCCCCCTCCTCCTCCCCCTCCTCCTCCCCCTCCTCCTCCCCCTCCTCCTTTTCTTCTTGTACATAAATGTCTTCTTCAGATGGCTTTTGCTAAGATCATTATATGTGCTACAGTTTGGAGCTGGAATGTCTCCCAAGGCCCTGTGTTCAAGCACTATCACCAGCCAGTGGTGCCTTGGGGAAGTAATGGGACCTTTAAGAGGTGGGAACTAGTGGGAGGGAATGAGGTAT